TTAATCATTTTATGTGAAGCGCACCGCCACACACACACACACACACACACACACGTGTACACACACTTATTGATATAAGAAGTGACAAATTCATGACTCACGTTGGGGTATAATTGATAGTCTGTAACAAAAAATGTCTTTGGGGAATTACATACACTTAATTTAATGATCATTTGCTTTTTATATAGAAATATTTTATAGAAGAAAATACTCATATTTCAATTCGAATTGGTCTTCAACATTTTATGATATCGGACTTTTGTTTAGGAGGTATTAACTCTCCCCGGGGTAGAAGATTTTATGGCAGTGTGTTAATTAATATGAAACTTTTTTTTGGAATAGATCAAGTTGTTGTTTTGTGTGTTGTTGTTATTGTTTTAAATTTATCTTTATCATTGAAAGTATTAACAGATGTTTTAACTAAAAACCCTTCAGGTATATTTGAAAATAGAGTAAAATTGAAGATCATCTATGTTTTATTTTTTAAAATACATTTTTATTGACTTTGGAGAGAAAGGGAAAAGGAGAGAGAGGTAGAAACATCAGTGATGAGAGAGAATTATTGATCGGCTGCCTCCTGCATGCCCCACACTGGAGATCAAGCCTGCAACCCGGGCATGTGCCCTGACCGGGAATCAAACTGGGACCTCCTAATTCATAGGCCAATGCTCAACCACTGAGCAACACTGGCCAGGCTGTATGTTTTATTTATTTATTTTTTTAATGTAGTTTGGCTTATAGCTTTGGTGGATGGTAGGTATTGGGTATTTTAAAAGTTTGTATTTTAAAAGGTAGATGAGTTTTATTAATTAAATAGTAAGAATTTATGTGATCAAATCATATATTGACATTTTCATGGAATTTAAAAGCATGTGCGTGCGTGACTTTTCCGTGTAGTGGGATTTGGGTTTGCATGAACCCGCATCCATCTATTGTGCCAGGTTTAGTCCTAGTGGTGTGACGCCAGGCGATGGTACAGCCCGTCTCACCGATGCCCTCTCTCAGTTTCTCGGCAGCACGGAGGTGGAGCAGCCCAAAGGCACCGAGGTCGTGCGGGACGCCGTGAGGAAGCTGAAGGTAGGTGAGCCCCACACGCCCGCCCCTCCCCCCCCAACGGCTGGTGTGCTGATCCGGTTTAAGTCATCATCAGACTGATGGGAATGCCTTGGTGGTAGAAATGGCTTCCCCTGTTAAAAATGGACACTTGAATAAATATCACCAGATTAAGGAAAAATGCTTAATAATAAGTGTGAACACATAATTATTCGTTTTCAGTATGGCACACCTCATAGTTTTATAAGTGCAGTTTCTCATACTAACAACGGAAAGGCAATATTCCACAAGTTTTGGCTTCAGTAGCTTGCCTTTACCTTGCCTGGGCCACATGCTCTAACCCAGTTACTACTGATGTAACAACTGTTTAATAGTTAAACTATCAGCCTCAGTGGTTGAGCATCAACCCATGAATCCGGTTTGTGGGCCTGATCCCCAGTGTGGGGTGTGCAGGAGGCAGCCGATCAATGATTCTCCCTCATCACTGATGTTTCTCTCTCTCTCCCTCTCCCTTCCTCTCTGATGAAAACTCAGTTCTACTCTCTTAGCAACTTTCAGATACACAGTCCTAGAGGCCCGATGCACGCAATTTGTGCAAGGGGCTCGGCCCTCGCAGCTGGGCGGCTGCCCATGGCCCTCCCAGCCCTGGCTTCGTCCGGAAGGTCATTCGGCTGTCCGGTCTAATTAACATATTACACTTTTATTAGTAGGGATTATTATAGATTATGAACTGCAGTCACCATACTGAACCTTACACCCGGGACTTACCTGACTCTTTACCTGGAGTTTGTACCTCTGTGCCCCCTTTACCCATTGCCCACGTCCACCCCTGCCTCTCAGCCCGCAGTCTGTGGGTTATTTTTGTTTTAGATTCTGTATGTGAGACCGTATGATACTCGTCTTTTTCTGCCTGACTTGGTTCACTTCGCATAATGCCCTCAAGGTCCACCCATGTCTCACATGGCAAGATGCCCCTTTTTTATAAAAGGCTGAGTAATATTCACACACGTGTCACATCTTCTTTATCTATTCATTCATCAGTGGACACTTCATCGCTTCCCTCAGACTTCTCATCTCTGTCTCACTAAGAAAATCTAACATCCCACTGAAACAGCAGGCCCTCGGGTAACATCTTTCGTTCAATGTTGTTTTAAAAATATATATTTTTATTGATTTCAGAGAGGAAGGGAGAGGGAGAGAGATAGAAACATCCATGATGAGAGAGAATCATGGATCGGCTGCCTCCTGCACACCCCACACTGGGGATCGAGCCCGCAACCCGGGCCTGCGCCCTGACCGGGAATCGAACCCTGACCTCCTGGTTCATAGGTCAATGCTCAAACCCTGAGCCCCACCGGCCCGGCTCAATGTCGTTTTGCTATAACACTGATGAGGTGCCAGGGACTTCGCTGGAGCTGCGGTCAGCCGGGCCTTTGGTGACATTGGCCTCGTTATAAGTCGTTGTGCCTGTTCGAGAACCTACTGACGACGTTGGATACAGACTCCGTTTGCTTCACGCGTACAGGTCACTGCTGCTCCCAGCTGCTCTCAGGGCTTTGTTTGCTTTGAGAGCGGCAGCTGTTCTCTATTCCACTCCGTTTCGGAGAGTAAGGCTTCCGATCGCCCAGGCGAAGCCACCGACGGGCCCAGCTTTGCTCTGCTTGGGGGCTGCGTCAGGCGGAGCCTGAGCGTTCAATCTGCGGACAGATGGAGGCGGGGCGGCTTGTGTTCTGGGTGAGGAACCGAAATGGATAATACTTTTCTGTATTCATTTTATCTGCGGATATTCGTCCTCATGTTTTAAGTAAATACGCTGTGAGGTCCCAAGGTGATGTCTCTCCCCTTTGGGGGAAAGGGAGGCAGCCATTTCTTCCCGCCACGCAGTAGGGATGGTGCAGACTTGTCCTTCCTGGGCCAGGCTTCTCGGCGCTGATGGAGACGTTAAAAGGTCTCAGTTCATGGGCAACATGCAGAATACGGTTCTGTTTCCGTGTTCAGAATGCTTCCCGCGCTGAGCAGGAGTCCAGCTCCCCTTACCATCAGAATGTTTTATAAAAGAATAATGGCATTAACCGCAGTGTTTCTTCGTATCTAGGGGGGCCTCTATTCCATCACCCCAAACCCCAGACCGAAAGGACTCACTTACGTCATGGCCAGATAAAATGCAAAGAGATACTTGCAATGAAATGCTTTGGGAACAAAGCTAGTTTTTATGTACAGCATGGGGCAAAAGTAGGCCTACAGTTGTTATTATGGAAAATAATACGATAGTTAATAAATAATAATGCACGAAAAACTCGCTGTTTTGTGTACTCACAACGGTAAGCCTACTTGGGCCACTTGCGTGTTTTTGTGGGACTTTATACGCAGTTCCAATGTAGTTTTACGTTTGGAAATGTACTCTGTTAAGGAGGGGAGGTGGTTGACAGTAAGATAAACATTACATGGTGCCGTTTAAAAATGCACGGCCAGGTGGTAGTGGCTCAGCCTTGCCAGGACCTCCCAGAACAAATGTGTTTGTGAGAGAGAAGCCATCTTCACTTGGGTGATTGCAAATAGTATTTAGATTTGGAAAGTATATCTGAGGGTGACGATTCAGGAACCAATGAAAATGAATGGAGCAGTGTTTTTAACGTGTTTTTAAATTTTTGTTTGTGTGTGTGTTTGTTAGAGGCCAGAAATCGATATATTGTTTATATTTTTTAAAAAGAATTTTTAATTCTGCCGTTATGCTGAAATGGCCAGAGGGTGGCGCTGTGGCTCCACTGAAAAATAAATGTGCTTGCATTGTGTCCACATCCCTCATTTAATTTCCTGCTGATTTTTCTTAATCATACGCATTCTGACTGCTTTCTTACCCACTACAGTAAAGTATTTTACTTCACTTGCTTTGGTTAAGGTAACATTTTATAGTTACTAAAGTTTTTAAAAGTTTGCAATTTTAATATATTGGCCTTTAACTTAAAAAGAATGAGAATTTTAGGATCAATGCAATACGATGGAAAACGTAAAAAGATTTTCAGTAATTTATTTTTCATGCTACTATGTCTAATTATGCCTGATAACTTTTCAGAAAGATTTTAAAAACTGATCTATTTTATTGTATGCCACTTTTCGGTCATTTTGTGGAGAATTTATAGTTTATAAATTTTTCTAAAATGTAAAAATTTTTGTAAACGAGTATGTATTTGTCAAAACATCATATTTTATATCTCTTGAGTATGTTTTAGCCTGAGATGTAAGAAGATACCAAATTCTATAAAATCTGACCATTTAAAAACCCTTTCAACTTCTATCTAATACCAGTGTTTTTGTAAGGAATTTAATGTGAATAGTATCTATTTATTTTTATAAATACAATTGGTATCAGCTTTAGAGGACTCAGTCCATAGGAGAAGCCAGGACCGTGGGCTCAGGAATAACTCCCAACTTCTGTGAAATCCAATCCGGCAGCTTTTCATTCGACTTCACTCTCTCTCTCTGTAACGAGACGCTGTTAGTTTGTTTTTCAATATTTCTGATTGATTTTAGAGAGAGATGGAAACATCAATGATGAGAGAGAATCCCTGGTCGGCTGCCTCCTGCACGGCCCCTGCTGGGATGGAGCCTGCAACCCAGGCCTGTGCCCTTGACCCGTAATCGAACTAGTGGCCTCCTGGTTCCCGGGTGGACACTCAACCACTGGGCCACGCCAGCCGGGCAAGAAGTTTGTTTTTAAACGCAGAAAATCTGTGTGCAATAGAAGAGTCGTTTAGTGATGGGTGGCCGCAGAGCTAGGTTCAGACCTGACCGCTACCCACCATTCAGGACGCAGGTCCTGGCTCGGGTGACCTGTGAGTCCCTGAACACAGTCCCTCCCTCTCACGTGAGCAGAGGCCACGCCTCCGCAAGCCTCAGACCAGATACTTGATGTTGATTTTCCTTTGTCTCCCTGTGTTTCCCCTTCCCGGCCTCCTTCTGTTTTTCCCGCCTCCCACCCCTACTTCCGTTCTGCATTCCTTCTTTCCTTATTTATTTATTTATTTTTGGCAGAAAAGCAATAGCTCAGCAGATGTGATGCTGTTGGTGGGTGTTCTGTGCCAGCCCTTGGGGAACCAGGAGGGGTCCCGGGAATGTGGGTGCAGCTGTGGGAAGGTGGGCGGCCGCTGCTTGTCCCTGTGGGTGGAGGGAGCGGCCGGGAGGCCGAGGAGTCTGGCAGCCCAGACGGCTGGTCCCAGGTCCCACGTGGTGGGTGATGGTGAAAGCCGCCCGTGCACATCCCAGGGCGCTCGTTCCTCCAACGCGGGAAGGAGACTGGGGTGGGGGCGGAGGGAACACACCCGCACACCCGTCCTCTCTCTTTGGGCGAGGGCCGGTGTGATTTTCTCGATTCTCACTGAAGCAGAACAAATCTCTTCAAGAAAAAAAAAACAAGAAACAAAACCCTCTGGCCCGAATTAGTGGAATTCCTGTGCAGAATCCCACCCGAGGAGAATAAAGCCAACGCCCCACGCAGGCCGCAGGGCACTGGCATCTGAGGTTACAGCTTCTCCCGCAGCGTCCTCCACGCAGCGCGGGCCACAGGGGGAGG